ATTTGTGTCATTCTCAAAACTTTTGGCCACGACTGTACACTAAGGCACAAGACACATACAAGACACAAAACCTAAGAACAAAACCTGAATAAACTGTAACATGGAATTATACTAATAAACAACAAAGCATAACAAAAACATCAGATTACAAACCATAATACAAAGGAATATAAGAAACTGAAAATGCTGGGTTAAAATGACCCAGAACCGTGACACATTGAGAGTAGAAAAGCGCTATTTAAGAACCAGTCCATTAACCATTTATACCCAGGGAATGCCATACCCTGCATTTACAGATCCACAAAGAAGGTGTTCCACTCAGACCCATTGTTAGCAGCATAAACTCAGCCACTTACAACATCTCGAAACACCTTGCTACCATCCTAGCACCTCTTGTGGAGAACACCCACAAGAACTCCACCAACTTCAGCGACAAGGTCCAGAAACTTACCCTGGATCCAGATGAAACTATGGTGTCCTTTGATGTAGTCGCTCTCTTCAATTGCATAGCTACTACGGAGGCAGTGGAGACTGTCAGAAAATGACTACAAGAAGACAGCACCTTGGAAGAGACAACCAAATTCACCTTGCCAATCAGATTTGCACATTGTTGGACCTCTGCCTTACCACCACATATTTCAAATACAACAAGGGTTTCTACAGTCAAAAACTTGGATGTGCCATGTACTCCCCGGTGTCACCTATTGTAGCCAACCTTTATATGGAGAAGGTGGAAAGAAAGGCTCTTGGCTCGTTTAGAGGGAGAGTACCTTAATCAAAACCCAAGCAGTGGAATCCTTCACTGCTCACATTAATGCCGCGGATAAAAACATCAAGTTCACCAGAGAACACACAAAGGATAACTGTTTGCCATTCCTGGACTGTGCCATGCGCATTGAAGAGAATGGAAACCTCAAAATTTAAGTTTACCGGAAGCCCACACACACGGACCAGTACCTCCTCTCTGACTGACACCACCCCATGGAACACAAACTCGGAGTAATCAGGACTTTACAACACCATGCAGGAAACTTTCTGCTCTAAGCCTGAAGGGAAAAAGAAGGAACACACACACAAGGAAGCTCTTAAAACATGTGGTTATCCTAATTGGGCTTTCATCAAGTCAGTAAAGATGCACAGAAAAGAAGATGAGACATTAGCTAGGCAGGATAAGAAAGACAAAGGCAACAACATTGACATCCCCTATGTAGCTGGTGTATCAGACAAAACTCCTAAACACAAACTTAACAATGTAGTGTTGGTATTAAAAAATTTGCATTGCCTCAATAAAGCTATGCTTTTTTATTAATAAGTGTTAAAAAGTTATACAGTGTAGTATTAAGTAGACACAGCCCTGAAAATAAAGGCATTAGACTGTGTCCTTGGGGAGTAGAAAGCTGTAGACTTTCGCCCACGCTTGCCTGGGAAAATGTAGATAAGAGGGGACCATCTCTAGTGGACAGTTACTGAGACACAGGGTGGGCCATTTGTATTGTATTTGTATGCCATGGATCTCAAAATGGTGGTGTGCCCCTAACACTTTTATTACAGAAGCTTTCTCATTCTACAAGGTGGGCCATTTATATGGATACACCGTAATAACATGGGAATGGTTGGTGATATTAAAGTCCTGTTTGTGGCACATTAGTATATGTGAGGGGTAAATGCAACCCTCTTCTCCCACTCTTCACACACTGATAGCAACACCG